CCATTTGCAACCAATCGGAGTGCGGTTCTTGGGTGGTGGAACCAAGTCCCATGTACGTTGCTCATTCAAAGCAATATACTCCTCATCCATAGCCTGACACCAAAAACTATTACCAGAGGCTTGGCGGTAAGTGCTAGGCTCAGTGGTAGGTGGGGTAGTATCAAGGGTGGTAATGATATAGGCTTTAGGTTTGAAAATTCCAGATTTGGCTCGGGTTTGCATGGTGTGTGTGTTTTAGGGCGGGGGTCGGTTAACCGATTGTGTGTTTTGGAGAGGAGTAGGTGACGGTCGAGGGTGGGTTGGGGTACGGTTCTGGGGTTGGACCGTCTGTGGCGTGTCCATAGGGAGGGTGTCGGGCTGTCGTCCGTGACTGGTGGGACGGGTCTGGGGTTGGACCGTCAGTGGGACAGGAGCATGTGAGCCTGGGCTTGGAGGAAAAATAAGGGTTATAGGAGAGGGTGACGGGAGGGATGACAATTTGGGATATGGAAACTGATCCTCGACGAACCGAACATGACGAGAGACATAAACTTTTTGAGACACGGGTTCATAGCATTTATACCCTTTAGTGGTGGGGTGATATCCTAAGAAGACACAAGGAGTGGAGCGTGGTTGAAGTTTGTGGTGAGTGTAAGGGCGGAGCCATGGATAGACCAAGCAACCAAAGGCACGAAGGTGGGTATATGTAGGAGGACGGTTATAAAGAGTTTCAAAAGGAGATTTGTTGGAGAGAGTTTTGGTGGGCATACGGTTGATAAGATAGTTTGCTGTGGCAAGAGTTTCGACCCAAAAGGTAGTCGGGAGAACAGAGTCGTATAGAAGAGAAACAACTGTTTCAATGAGATGACGGTGTTTCCGTTCAGCGACCCCATTTTGCTCAGAGGTGTAGGGACAAGAGGTGTGATGAAGGACTCCTAAAGTTTGAAGGAAAAGGCCAAAAGCGTTATTTACAAATTCTTTGCCATTATCACTTCGCAAAATTTTGATGTGAGAATTAAACTGAGTTTTAATCATTTTTTCAAAATTCACAAAAACAGAGTAAGCTTCAGATTTATGTTTTAGGAGATAAATCCAGGTAAATTTGCTGAAATCATCAACAAAAGAGATATAAAATCGAAAACCGCTACAGGAAGGAACAGAGGTGGGACCCCAAACATCAGAATGTATTAATTGAAAGGGCGCTGTGGCCTTATGTTTAGACAATTCAAAAGGTAAACGACAGGACTTAGAGACATAACATGATTCACAATGTAAAGGCTCTGAAAACTGAAAACCTAAGGAAGACAAAATAGATTTGGCAATCGCAGGAGCTGGATGACCGAGTCTACGATGCCAAGTGGACTCTTGGATAGCTTGATACGCAACGGTTGGGAGTTTGGAAGGAAGTGTGTATAACCCATGCTCACAGAGGCCCTTGTACCGCACCTGGTTGGTAGGATTGTCCACTATCTGGAAATCGTTGGCATTGAAAACAAGAGTGCAGTTGTTATCTTTGGTAAATCGATGGACAGACAATAGATTGGAGGTAAGGGAAGGGACATAATGAAGAGTAGAAANGTTTCCAGAATGATTACTCGTAGATGCATGCATTGCACGGGGAGCACTAGAGGAGGAGTTCGCAGTATAAGAATCATCAAATCGATACCAGCACGCAGACGCAGAGTGACCTCGTTTCTCGCAGATTTGGCAGGTTGGCAGATCCCGTGACGGTCGACCGTTTCCCTGGGACGGTCGACCGTTGTTCCTTTCTCCACGTCCGTTGTTGTATCCACGTCCAGGTGACGGTCGACCGCGGTAGCCTCCTCTACCGTGACCTCGACTGTTCGTAGCGAGAAGTGTTGTGCGAGGTTCGGTGATGGTAGACTCGGTGAGGTTGAGTTTATTCTCCATCTCCAGGTTTATTTCTTCGGAGATAAGCCATCCAGAAAGCTGATTTAACAAAATATTGGTATTGTTCATGCGAATGTTTTGCTTAAAGGATGAGTATTCGGTGGGAAGACCACGAATAACAGCATTTACCACATCACGTTCAGGGATCTCTTCTTTCAAGGCATCGATTTTAAATGCATCATCGTTTGCAAAAATTCACTATGTTACAGTATATAAATGCATCATAGTTGTGTTGGGATAATTTCACTCCCGCATGCATCAACTTAGATTCCGAGAATGCACAGTAACAGAATGCATTATCCTTTATTTTGATTTAGAGAATGTATTGTCTTCACTCTCAAGGAAATGCATTACTTTGCTTCTGATTATGCACAACAACAACAACAAAAAGAAAATAAAAAGTAAAAAAGAAGAAAAAAGCGGCCATATACACCCCCAATGAACACTGAATTCCCCAGAAACATTGTAAAGGTCAATATTTTCCAATTGTATAATAGATAAGAGCAAACAAGCAAAAAAGTAAAAAAAGAAAGAAGGCATTAACTCTAATTATAAACTTATATAGTTGAGAACAACATTTACAGTAATGCATCATGTTGTCATTCTGCTGCACCAGCTCAAAATTATTGTGCACTTCAGATTCCCATATCCATAAGCAAACACACAAACTTCAAACATAAATAAGTTCTACTTATTGTTAAGAACCAATATCATCCTCCTAAAGAAATTTAAAACGCGTAGGGAAAAAATCAACATGACCTTTTTGGTTACACAACATTAAATTCTATGCTGTTGATACATATTCTTTGAGCATAAATAATTTATTACATTTTGTAGTACCAAAAGCATAGAGTGTAATAAAGGGAGAATGACATATGGGGAACTAAGGAGTCCACAATAAAAATATTGATATAATACAATAACAAGATTAACAACCACTGAATATATTCAAGGAATATATATGTGTAAAAAAATGAGCAAAATCAACCTTAGCTTGCGATATTATACTTATAAAGACAAAGCATTGGGCATCTAGTCCTTAAAATGTGTTTAGAGAGTTAAAGAAAACATGATCAAAACAAAAAATCCAACAGTTACCAAAAATAGTTAGAAACATAAAAAATAACCAACATGGATGTAGAATGTACTATTAGATTACTATTATAGGGTGTGTGGACTACCATCAATATAGAGTGCATTACAAGGTTATAAGAATGACGTCGACATCTTATGAATAAAATGGTCCACAATAGAAAGTAATGAAACAACACAATTGCATCTTCAGCCATGTTTTTACATCTTCAATAATCACACATAAACCACAAACCCAAATATATTTTAAAATATTACATCTTCACAAGAGTTTTTTTTAATATAACCCAAAGACATTTTAATAGATTTTGATATATTTCATATAATCTATCTATGGGTTATGCAAAATCCATGGAATGTTTTATTTCTATATGGGTTTGCTCTAACACCAATAATTAATTACAAAAACAACTTTAAAATAACAAAAAATTATAGAATAAATATAAAAATAATTTTGGCTTGATAGTAGGTTCCTTTGATGCATCAAGTGTTCTTTCAGGTATTTTATCAAACACCTTTGGTGCAAACTGAGCTTCATCTTTATCAAAGAAAACCTTGTTCATTTTCACACTTCAAAATAATTCAATACTCAAGAGCTCCTAAAAAACAATTCAAGAGCAATTGAAAATAGAGATCGAACATACCTTATTGATATGGGAAATTGATTGGACTCGAGTTAGATGACATGTTTCGGTCAGATGACACTTTCAGTCAGATGACATGCTTCAGAATGAGCACTAGCTTGTTTGAGAATGAGCACTATGTTGTTTCAGAATAACACTTTGCTGAGCGACCTGGGAATGAGTACTATGTTATTTTAAAATTAGTACTAAGTCTATAATGAGCAAATGTATGAGAATGAATCCTACGTTATTTTAGAATAAGATCATGTTATTCTAAATGAACCCTATGTTGTCAATTGACTCACATGGAATGAACTCTGTTTTTTTAAATGAACAGTACGTTGTGATGAAAAGTGGTGTGAGAATTAACCCTACGTTGGGTTAGAATGTGCACTACATTGATCCATAATGAACCATACGCTGTCATTTGACCAAAGTTGTCATCAGACAGAAAATCAATCTCACACACACACACACATATAGTTTTCACATACATAAAACTTGATCTGGAAATACAAAAAACTAATCATGTACACCAATTTGCACACCAATATCAAACATTTTTTAGTGTGAATAAAAATAATGCAAAATGGAAAAGAAATATATAGTGGGAGGAGAGGTGGTTTGTATGTAGCATTACTTTTGAAGATAATAAAATTTTGTTATTTATGACAATGTCTAAACTTTCTTTTCAAAATATAATTATTTATATTTTACTTTTTAAATATTAATTAATTTTAATAATCATATATTAATGCTTTAACAATTTATAATCTATTAATTTGTATATTTTTAAAATCTAAACAATTTTCGATAATAAAATATATCAAAATCTATTCAAAGATTCATAAAACTTAACAATTCATGTATTTTACATAATTCATATATAAAAAAATTGTGACATAGCATTAAATGTTAACATTTTAAAAATACTATCTAACAAGATAGCATTTTTTATAATATTTTTAAAATTAATATGTAATTAAAATTTTAACGAAAACAATAGTAATAATTACATTAAAATCCTTCTTCCCCAATTTGAAGAACCAAATTTCGTAGCTACCGACCAAATTTCACCCCAGTCAAACCTCCGGCGCCTTTCAAATTGGCTTCCAGGAAGTATATGATGAAGCATGCATTCTTTCTATTGCAAATTCATACATATCTTCATCGGCTTCATCAATTCCCATTAAAATCGGCACTCTACCAGTGCGATTCTTGGCCACTGCATTTGCGGAGACATCATCTTCAGAAGAATCCCAGTTCCGATCTGGTGTTGAAGACGATGATCCTACATCCATTGGTGTCATCCAGGACAAGGACCTTCTCCGGAAGGCTTCTAATGGAGGGCTTTTGGTCCTCGATCTCATTGACAGGGGCGCAATGGAACCCGATGCCCGGTTGTACCAGACACTCATCAAGAAGTGTGCCGATCATAGAAGGCTGAAAGAAGGCAGAGCTGTTCACGAGCATTTCCTTCGGTCCAGGTTCTGCCATTACGTTGTTCATAACAACATTTTGATAAACATGTACTCGAAGTGCCAGTGTGTGGAGGAGGCCCAGAAGGTGTTTGATGAAATGCCCGAGAGGGATATGGTTTCCTGGGCGTCTCTGATCACCGGGTATTCACAAAACGAGAGGTTTTTTCAGGCGCTGGCAATGTTCCGTGAGATGATGAGGGCCGGATTCGTGCCCAACCACTTCACTTTCGGGGGCGTTCTCAAGTCCGCGGGTTCTGGTACGACCGATGCTATGATGGGAAGACAAACCCATGCTGTTTGCTTGAAACAAGGGTTTGAGGAGAGTGTTTATGTGGGGAGTGCTCTTATAGATATGTATGCCAGTTGTGGAGAAATGAATGAAGCAATGTCTGTGTTTCTGGGGATGAAGATGAAGAATGAGGTTTCTTGGAATGCTTTGATTTCCGGGCATGCTAGGAAAGGGGAGGGGGAGAACACATTGAATCTTTTCTTGGATATGAAAAGATCCGGTCTTGACCCGACCCATTACACGTTTTCAAGTCTTTTCTCTGCTTGTGCGAGTATCGGAGCTTTGGAGCAGGGAAAGTGTGTCCATGGGCACATGATAAAATCCGGTTTACAACTCGTCGCGTTTCTAGCCAACACCCTTCTCAATATGTATGCTAAATCAGGTAGCATTGGTGATGCCAAGAGAGTTTTCAGCCAAATGGTGAAAAGGAATATAGTTTCATGGAACTCAATGCTCACTGCCTCTGCCCAACATGGGCTGGGGAAGGAGACTATAGAGCTCTTTGAAGAAATGCTTAGGGAAGGCTATCAACCCAATGATGTGACCTTCCTCTCTGTTCTCACTGCCTGTAGCCGTTCCGGGCTTTTAGATAAAGGAATGCATTATTTCGAGTTAATGAATAAATTCAAGGTAAAACACGAAATTTTGCATTTCGTGACAATCGTTGACCTACTCGGCCGTGCTGGTCAACTTGATCGTGCCCGAACGTTCATAAACGACATGCCCGTGGAACCAACTGCAGAAATCTGGAAAGCGTTGTTAGGAGCTTGCATGAAGCACAAAAACACAGATTTGGGCGTCTATGCAGCAGAACGGGTGTTTGAACTCGACCCGTACGATTCAGGGCCCCACGTCTTGATTTTGGGAGCCCTGTTAGGTAATGAATTGACTTTCTTTTGGAGAATGAGTATGATGCTGGAAAAAAAAGGTTGGTCTGGAGATGGGCATTATTTTAACTTGTTATTGAAAGCAGAACAAAGTTTGGACAGGGTTTTGATCCAGGTTGGTCGGATGTTTCGGCGAAAAATCCCCTGGATCAATACCATTATATACCATTATTATACCCTGACGATATTGAAAAAAGTATGATGCTGGCCAGGGCTGTCAATGATACTAAAGCCTACAATCTTGTCTTGAAAGGGATTTTTAGTGAGGGGGGTGTCCAAAGAGCTGTTTCTTTTTTTTTTAATGAATTGTTAGACAAGGGGGTGTATGCATCAACACTATAACCACACAGTACGTGTTGTCTAACAATTCATTAAAAAAAGAAACACCTCTTTGGACACCTCCCTCACTAAAAATCCCTTTCAAGACAAAATTGTAGGCTTTAGTATCATTGACAGCCCTGGCCAGCATCATACTTTTTTCAATATTGCCTTCTCCTATATATGCCCTAATCAGGGTATAATAATGGTATTGATCCAGGGGATGTTCCGCCGAAACATCTGACCAACCTGGATCCAAACCCTGTCCAAACTTTGTTCTGCTTTCAATAACAAGTTAAAATAATGCCTATCTCCAAACCAACCTTTTTTTTCGAGCATCATATTCACTCTCCAAAAGAAAGTCAATTCATTACCTAGAAGGGCTCCCAACATCAAGACGTGGGGCCCTGAATCATACGGGTCGAGTTCAAACACCCGTTCTGCTGCATAGACGCCCAAATCTGTGTTTTTGTGCTTCACTACATTCTCCTCATATGTTGGGCCGGAGCACCTTAGAAATTGTGGTTCAAGATCTGATGGATGTTGCTGCAAAAGAGGCTCAACCACTGAAAAGGTTGCACATTAAGGAAGTTGCTTTGGGGATGTGTCACCATATGGAACTTGTTGGTGTCAAAGCAACCTTTGCCCAGCATATAATTTGGAACGCCGCACGAGAATGGAATCACTCGTAGCAAACCAGTCCCATTGAATGATCTTGGACATATAGTCAGTGAGACAGCGAAGCAAAACACAAGAACTCGGTGACATGATTTTGTATGGTGAAGATTCTATTTTTCTCTCTTTTTTTTATTACTCCTTCCTTCCCAGCCATTTTCTTTTTTGAACACAAATGATGCATAAACCCCACTGCACTAAACAAAGACGGAGTAACTTTTATTTATACTCTTACTGAAATAGACTTATTTGCTAAATCCATCCATACTCTTTACACAACAAAGGAAACATATATAATCACTAATTCAAACCATCACGGCCCGGAGTAACGAATATTCCCTGGTACAACAAATTCAAGCCATCACGGCCTATGAAAAGACGAGTCAGAGAAACATTTAGAACGTTGAGTACACATCTCTAAGAATATATACAATAATTTGAAGCACTTAATTAGGTCAGAGGTCTGACATATTGTTGATTATTCACTTCACAATAAACTTCTTTGCAGTTTTGATCGCCATGCCTTGGATCTTCTGGACAAAATGATGACACTTGATCCGTCACAGGTTGCTAATTGGTTCCAACATCTTTTCTCCCTATTGAATTGAATGTATGCAAAATTATAAATTGATTTGGATCGGAGCATACCGGCACTATCTTACTCTAGAGGCACATCATAAATTTAGATTTTCACTTTACAAAAGTCTACCAAGCATTTCTGTGACCATTTGTTTTTAATCAAACTTTAGTAAATGTCATCTCAATTTGTGTAGAGAATTTCCGCAAAGGATGCATTGGATGCTGAATATTTTTGGACTGACCCTTTACCTTGTGACCCAAAAAGGTATGATAGAGTATCTTTATGGCATTTGATTCTCCTTGTTTTTGTTATACCTATGCAACTGTTATCATAAAATTGTTAATTTAAAATATGTTTTTGTGCCTCCAAATATAAATTTTTTAATTTTTGAGGTGTAAGATTATCATTATTATTTGTCATTCATTCCTGCATTGCAGTATATCTTGCTTTCTTTTCACTCTCTCTGTCAACATCTTCTTTAGAAAAAGACTTGCATGGGAGTGCCCATTTGGACACAACTTCAGCGTTTTGAAAAGGCCATCTAATATCAACACTTAGCTTTAGTGTTTCCAAAGTTAATATACACCATTAAAAATTTATCAAAAAAAGTAATCTACATCATTAAAAGTTTATCCAAGCTAATTGTAAATGCTGTTCCCAAACAACTAGACCCTACTTTTGTGGGATCCAATTGGGTTGTTGGTGGTGGTGGT